AGCGTTGGATTGTCACCCACTAATAGGGAACGTGAGCTGGGTTTAGACCGTCGTGAGACAGGTTAGTTTACCCTACTGATGGTATCGGTATCGTAACAGTAATTGAAGTCAGTACGAGAGGAACCCTTCATTCAAATAATTGGTATTTGCGGCTGGTTGAAAGGCCAATGCCGCGAAGCTACCATTTGCTGGATAATGGCTGAACGCCTCTAAGTCAGAATCCATGCTGGAAACGATACTAAATGTATTTCTCCTGTACTAGATGAGTACAAATAGGCTTTCGAGCTGAAAACCATATCTTGTTCTTGGTTGTATTTGCGGAAAGGCAGGTACATCCAGAGCTACATGATAATGCTAATACGGAGTAATGATGAATCGCATGCAGACGACATGAAACTGACGGGGTATTGTAAGTAGTAGAGTGGCCTTTGTTGCTACGATGTACTGAGATTAAGCCCTTGTCCTTGAATTTGTTCTTTTGAACACCTTCAAATCTAAATATACTGTTTTTTTTTCAAAAATTAACGTATTTAAGTAGGGAATATCACTAGGCGCCCAACAGCCGACCCAAAATACATACTAGCATAATTAGCTTTACTTTCTGACTTTGCAAAATTACTAACTCACCCTGATATTTTTTTTTAACCTAATAGACCTTTTTTTTTTCTAGACAAACCAGTGAAGCGAATTCTACCCCCGTTGTATTCAATGTACTTAATAAGAGGTCGGGTCCAAAAGCCATACCCATTCAATCCCCTCCATCCTAAAAAAAAATTCATCGATTATGTATAGCCGTACAATTCATTGATTTAATATATTCGCCTTCAATGCTGTTATAGGCAATAGACGGACTGACAACCTCAGGCTATTAACTAAAGCTTAACCCTCTTCTATTGATTTGATCTTTCACTGCAACCTAAATTAAAAGGTTGACCCCTAACATTGTTCATAGCCAAACAAAAACAACTCACTACAAGCAGTCTTATATGCATACTAGAACCCGAATTAAACAAAAAACTATGCACAAGGAATTTTAAAATGTATATTATAATATAATATAATGCCTATTAATTTTTTTTTCATATATTCAATCAACTAATGACCAAAGTCTTTGGTTAAACTGTACATGTACTTAAATAGCTACACCAAAAAACTAGTTTGAGAAATAAATGGGGGAGAGAGTAATAGGAAAGCTATTGATTTAATGGGGTGGATATAAAAATAATTAAAAAGACAAATTTGATTAAGATAGGAAAACAAGATACGTCGAAGTTATGGACAAAGGCAATGAGATAAAAAAAATAAAACTATTGCATAATGTGTAGTTGTGTATTATGTACGATATATTAAATTTATAGATCAATTGAATACGAATTGCAAAAGTTTTAATATAAGCAAGTAAATATATCGTATGTATTTATGATATGTAAATGCAAAGGGAAAAAATAGAAAAAAAAAAATAAAAAAATAAAAAACCTACGACATAGCGTATTCCCATGTGGTCCCCCACCATAGTACTGACGCTACCAGGAGAGACTTAACTGCGGAGATCAGACGGGATCCGGTGTGTTACTATCTGTATGGCCGTAGATTAATTACATATAAAAAAAAATAATTATATAGGAGATTAAAATAATCCAAAATAATCGGGTATAATAGGGTTATACTGGCTAAATAAAAAGCGGTTTGATTACACAAAAGGTGGATATGGTTAAGTAAAAGGTGGATACGGTTAAGTAAAAGGCGGTTTAGTTAAATGAATGACCCAAACAGTATATTACTGGCCATATAAAAGGCGGTCTGCTTAAACCCAAAGCGGTTTGATTAATTAACCATAGTCTAATTAAGTAAATGACCCGAATTGGAGAATCTTGGTAGAAAAAAGCATGGTCTGGTTAAATAAAATATGGTCAAGTTAATTAAAAGGCGGTTTGCTAAATTAATTCACCCGAATAGTACGGTCCTGGTAGATAAAAGCTTAGTCTGGTTGATTAAAAGGTGTCTGCTTAAATTAAATGCGATGTGATTAATTGACTAGGGTCTGATTAATTAATTGACCATCAAGGTAGAATCCTGGTAGATAAAAGCATAGTCTGGTTAATTAAAATACGGCCAGGTTAAACCAAAGGTGGTCAACTTAATTAAAAGGTGTTTAGCTTAAATTAAAGGCGGTCTGGTTAATTAACTATTGTCTAATTAATTAAATGACCCAAGTGGTAGAATCCTGGTAGATAAACGCATGATCTGGTTAAATAAAATACAGTCTGGTTGAACCAAAGGTGGTCTAGTTAATTAAACGGTGGTCTAGTTAATTAAACGGTGGTCTGGTTAAACTGAAGGTAGTCTGATTAATTAACTATGGTCTAATTACTTAAATGACCCGAATGATAGAATCCTGGTAGATAAACGCATAGTCTGGTTAAATAAAATATGGTCTGGTTATATTAAAGGCGGTTGGCTTAACCCAAAGGTGGTCTACTCAATTATCTTTGATATAATTAATTAATTGACCCGAATGATATAGTCCTGGTATATTAAAGCACAGTCTGGTTAAATAAAATACGGTTAGGTCAAACCAAAGGTGGTATGGTTCATTAAAAGGCGATCAGCTTAAACTAAAGGCGGTCTGCTTAAACTAAAGGCGATTAGCTTAAATTAAAGATGGTCTGCTTAAACTAAAGGCGGTCAGCTTAAATTAAAGACGGTCTGCTTAAACTAAAGGCGATCAGCTTAAATTAAAGACGGTCTGCTTAAACTAAAGGCGGTCAGCTTAAACTAAAGGCGGTCTGCTTAAACTAAAGGCGGTCAGCTTAAATTAAAGACGGTCTGCTTAAACTAAAGGCGGTCTGCTTAAACTAAAGGCGGTCAGCTTAAATTAAAGACGGTCTGCTTAAACTAAAGGCGGTCTGCTTAAACTAAAGGCGGTCAGCTTAAATTAAAGACGGTCTGCTTAAATTAAAGGCGGTCAGCTTAAATTAAAGACGGTCTGCTTAATTAATTATACCTTAATTAATTATTTGACCAGAATGGTAGAATCCTGGTAGACTTAAAGAAGATCTGGTTAAATTAAAGGCAGTCTGGTTAATTAAAACGCGGTTTGATTAAACCAAAGGCGATCTGATTAATTAACTATAATCTAATTAAGTAAATGACCCAAATGGTAGAGTCCTGGTGGATAAAAGCAAATTCTGGTTAACGTAAAGGCGGTCTGGTTAGTTAAATGACCCGAATGGTAGAATGCAGGTAGATAAAAACATAGTCTGGCTATTTAAACGGTAGCCTGGTCAATTAACTTTATGTAATTAATTAATTGACCCAAAAGGTATAATCCTGGTAGATAATAGCATAGTCTGGTAAATTAAAGGTAGTCTTGTTAATTAAACGGTAGTGTGGTTAATTAAACGGTAGTGTGGTTAATTAAACGGTAGTGTGGTTAAACAACTATATATAATTAATTAATTGACCCGAATGATAGAATCCTGGTAGATAAAAACATAGTCTGGCTATTTAAACGGTAGCCTGGTCAATTAACTATATATAATTAAATAATTGACCCGAATGATAGAATCCTGGTAGATAAAAGCATAGTCTGGTCGATTAAAGATAGTCTGGTCGATTAAACCGTAGCCTGGTTAATTAAACAGTTGTCTGGTCAATTAACTATATGTGATTAATTAATTGACCCGAATAGTAGAATCCTGGTCGATTAAAGGTAGGCTGGTAAATTAAATCGTAGCCTAGTCAATTAAACGGTAGTCTGGTTAATTAAACGGTAGTCTGGTCAATTAAACGGTAGTTTGGTCAATTAAACAGTGGTCTAGTCAATTAAACAGTGGTCTAGTCAATTAAACAGTGGCCTGGTCAATTAAACGGTGGCCTGGTCAATTAAACAGTGGTCTAGTCAATTAAACGGTGGTCTGGTCAATTAAACAATTGTCTGGTTAATTAACTATATGTAATTAAATAATTGACCCGAATGGTAGAATCCTGGTCGATTAAAGGTAGCCTTGTTAATTAAACGGTAGTCTGGTCAATTAACTATATGTAATTAATTAATTGACCCGAATGGTAGAATCCTGGTAGATAAAAGCATAGTCTGGTCGATTAAAGGTAGGCTGGTCAATGGAACGGTTGTCTGCTTAATTATTTATACTCTAATTAATTAATTGACCCAAATGATTGAATCCTGGTAGATAAAAGCATGGTCAGATTAAATAAAAGGCGGGTCTGGTATATTAAATTACCCAACTGGGGAATCCTGGTGAATAAAAGTGGGTCATGTTAACTAAATGACCCCAATTATTTTGATACCAGTTAATAAAAGCAAGCCGATTAACTAATTGACCCAAATTGCTTTAATACCAGTTAATAATAAACCGATTAACTAATTGACCCAAATTGTTTTGATGCTAGTCAAAAAGTTGGCTGCGTTAATTAAATGACCCAAATTGTATTTATCCTAGTCGAAATATGGGTTAGGTTAACTAAATGACTCAAATACTATAATTACCAGTCCATTGAGAGCAAATTCTGGTAAGCAAATGATCGATCTAGGTGAACATTGTGTATGTCTGGTCAATAAACAATGCATCCTGGTAAATGGGCGATTCATACGATGCATAAATGTTGCATTTAATTAATTAATTCATGAATCCTGATATAAAAAATATATTCGGTGGATAAAGGATTGATCCTGGTAAACAATGTATATTTCTGGTCAATAAACAACGCATCCTGGTCAATAATCGATCCATCCGATGTATAAATGATGAATTTAATTAATTAATTAATTAATCCTGGTATAAAAAATAATATTCGGTCAGTAAATGATCGATCCTGGTGAACAATATATATGCCTGGTTAATAAACAATGCATCCTGGTCAATAACCAATCCATCCGATGTATAAATGATGAATTTAATTAATTAATTAATTAATCCTGGTATAAAAAATAATATTCGGTCAGTAAATGATCGATCCTGGTGAACAATATATATGTCTGGTCAATAAATAGTGAATCCGGTCAATAACCGATCCAGCCGATGTATAAATAATGAATTTAATTAATTAATTTATGAATCCTGGTATAAAAAATAAATCCGGTCAATAAATGATCGATCCAGGTAAATAAATAATGAGTTCTGGTAAATAAATAATGCATCCGGTCAATAACCGATCCATCCGATGTATAAAGAAATGTTTTGGGTCGATAAATGATCAATCCTGGTAAATAAATAATAAATTCCTGGTAAACAATTGACTCCATGCAGCAATCTTGGTAAACATAAACAAACCGTCGATCTTTGTAAACAAAAGGGCGATCATTCCATGCAAAAGGGCGATCATAGTAGACAATATTGAATTATGGTGAATAAAAGGGTAAACATGGTAAAATAAAGGGGTGGTAAATGTAAAAAAATGAGCCAAAAGTGCCACACGGATAAAAAACGAGCCACAATGCATGGCACCCGTGTCATAGTTGGCCATTGTTGTCAACTGGTTACCATATATGGAACAAACCTAATTATGCTTTTAATTGTTATGCATATAATTCAAGCCCAGAAAAAAAAGGTTTAAAAGTGTAATTTAATGTTTTTAACCTTTGGCGGAATTTGTAACGACCCCCCTATTATATGTATGAGAGAAGATGATTGAAATCTCAATAACAATTAATTTTGGAATTGTTTCAAAAATCTTTTTTCAGAGAGTTCTATGCGTGGGGTATTCTTCCCGAAGTTTACCTGGTGCCTCTTTTGCTCGGATTAGTAAAAGTTTTTTTTACCAGAAACTTTTGCTGGTCTCCCGACGCATATTTCGAACCATATACTTTTGCTTCGGCGAATTTTTGGGAACATCTGTTGGGGGGTAGTCTTTGTGCTGCTAATAATCTACAGATCCAATTTATTGGATTTGGACCAGGGAAATATTGTGTATTACTGGCCTTTGGCTATAAATATATATGTACGATGATGTCGGGTGAAAGTGTTCGAAGGAAATCAGATTTTTTATTTGATGGCCTGAAGATTATAACATCCATCTACCTGTTGTCTGGTAAAAGTTTACTTTTACCTGATTCCAGTAGAAAAACAGTGGAACTGGCAATATGGATATTATTTACGGAGGTTTTGGCTTCGAAAGAAGCTAGAGCTGAAAGAAATAATTTTACAACATTGGAAACAACATATTCTGGTGGGCTGCTTTGGGTATTAATGCTGGTCATTTTTGACCGGCTCTATGTTCATTGTGGTCTTTTCGGCTAGCTAATTTATTAGCTGGCTGAACCAACATTTGTAGTTACCTGGTTGATCCTGCCAGTAGTCATATGCTTGTCTCAAAGATTAAGCCATGCATGTCTAAGTATAAACAAATTCTATACTGTGAAACTGCGAATGGCTCATTAAATCAGTTATGATCTACATGACAATTCATTACTACTTGGATAACCGTGGTAATTCTAGAGCTAATACATGCAACAAAAGCCTCGACTTCGGAAGGGGTGCACTTATTAGGTAAAAGCCAACCTGGTGTTAAAGCCAGTTTTTTGGTGATTCATAATAATTCAATGCTGATCGCATGGCCTTGTGCTGGCGACGGTTCATTCGATTTTCTGCCCTATCAGGTTAAGATTGTAAGATAGAGGCTTACATTGCCTACCACGGGTAACGGGGAATTAGGGTTCGATTCCGGAGAGGGAGCCTGAGAAACGGCTACCACATCCAAGGAAGGCAGCAGGCGCGCAAATTACCCAATCCCAATTCGGGGAGGTAGTGACAATAAATAACAATGCAGGGCCTTTTAGGTCTTGCAATTGGAATGAGTACAATTTAAATCCCTTAACGAGGATCTATTGGAGGGCAAGTCTGGTGCCAGCAGCCGCGGTAATTCCAGCTCCAAGAGCGTATATTAAAGTTGTTGCAGTTAAAACGTCCGTAGTCGAATAGTAGCTTTTGGCTAGGTGACTTGATCTTCATTGGTCTAGTTCGCTTTAGTCATGGCTCTCACGTTTGGTACTGTCTGGTTGGCTTCGGTCGGTTAGATATAAGGCCAAACAAATTACCATGAGCAAATCAGAGTGTTTAAAGCAGGCTATAAGCCTGAATGTGTTAGCATGGAATAATGAAATAAGACGTGGCTCTATATTTCGTTGGTTTTAAGAGACCATTGTAATGATGAATAGGAACGGTTGGGGGGATTTGTATTTGGTCGCTAGAGGTGAAATTCTTGGATTGACCGAAGACAAACTACTGCGAAGGCATTTCACCCAGGACGTTTTCATTGATCAGGGTCGAAAGTTAGGGGATCGAAGACGATTAGATACCGTCGTAGTCTTAACAGCAAACTATGCCGACTAGAGGTTGGATAAGTACATTATGGCTTATTCAGAATCTTAGCGAAAGCAAAGTTTTTGGGTTCCGGGGGGAGTATGGGACGCAAGGCTGAAACTTAAAGGAATTGACGGAAGGGCACCACCAGGAGTGGAGCCTGCGGCTTAATTTGACTCAACACGGGGAAACTCACCAGGTCCAGACATAAGAAGGATTGACAGATTGAAAGCTCTTTCTAGATTTTATGGGTGGTGGTGCATGGCCGTTCTTAGTTCGTGGAGTGATTTGTCTGGTTAATTCCGATAACGAACGAGACCTTATTTTACTAAATAGACAGACCAACTTTTTAGTTGGGTTAAGCTTCGGCTTTTCTGTCTTCTTAGAGAAACTACCTGCGCTAAGCAGGATGAAGTTAGGCAATAACAGGTCTGTGATGCCCTTAGATGTTCTGGGCCGCACGCGCGCTACACTGACATAGTCAACGAGTCTATAACCTTGGCTGAGAAGCTTGGGTAATCTTTTGAAACTATGTCGTGCTGGGGATTGAGCTCTGTAACTATTGCTCATCAACGAGGAATTCCTAGTAAGCGCAAGTCATCAGCTTGCGTTGATTACGTCCCTGCCCTTTGTACACACCGCCCGTCGCTACTACCGATTGAATGGTTACAGCAAGAATATGGGATTGTTGGGAGCTAGTTGGCAACAACCGGCTTTCGATGAGAACTAGGTCAAGCTTTGCTATTTAGAGGAAGTAAAAGTCGTAACAAGGTTTCCGTAGGTGAACCTGCGGAAGGATCATTACCAATGTTGTCTACAGTTCAGCGTTTACGCTGGTCTGATAGTCTAACAAAACTTTGTGAATCGTCTCGTACCTTGGGATTTAAAAATAGCTGGTCATTAAACCGTCGAGCTGATCCCTATAGGAAAACAAAATCTTACTGAAGAACTGAATCTAGTTGGAAAACTAAAAGTTAACATGACCGCAAGGTTATAAAACAACTTTCAGCAACGGATCTCTTGGTTCTCGCATCGATGAAGAACGTAGCAAACTGCGATACTTAATGTGAATTGCAAATTCAGTGAATCATCGAGTCTTTGAACGCACATTGCGCTCACTGGTATTCCAGTGAGCACGCCTGTTTCAGCATCACAAAACAACCACAAAACAATTTGTTTATTCGAATTTGTTTTGATTATGGATAGATCATGGTATTTATACCGTTGAATCATCTTAAGCAAAGCTTGTAAAAGAATCTTGTCGGTTATCAACAGATCAAACTTTATAAAAATCACCTGGCTATGGTTGCCGGTGCTAGTTTATCTGGGCAGACATAAGAACGGTTCCCAAGTAAAAAGTAGTTTGGCTCATTTATTTAAGCCAAATTTCTTTAATACAAACCATTTTAAAATTGGATCTGAAATCAGGTGGGATTACCCGCTGAACTTAAGCATATCAATAAGCGGAGGAAAAGAAACTAACAAGGATTCCCCTAGTAACGGCGAGTGAAGAGGGAAAAGCTCAAAGTTGGAACCTGTTTGGCTTAGCTAAACCGGATTGTAAACTAAAGAGCCGTTTTCCAGACGAGCTAAGCAAAAAAGTCCCTTGGAACAGGGCATCATAGAGGGTGAGAATCCCGTCTTTGGCTTAAGCGATTTCGTCTTTATGTGATACGGCTTCAAAGAGTCAGGTTGTTTGGGAATGCAGCCTAAAGTGGGTGGTAAATCTCATCTAAAGCTAAATATTGGCGAGAGACCGATAGCGAACAAGTACCGTGAGGGAAAGATGAAAAGAACTTTGAAAAGAGAGTTAAACAGTATGTGAAATTGCTGAAAGGGAACCGTTTGAGGTTAGACTAGCTGGTCAGTAATCAATCTTGGTTTCGACCATGATGCACTTGCTGGCCTTTGGCTAGCCAACGACAGTTTTTTCTGTAGGAAAAAATGTGCAGGAATGTGGCTCTTCGGAGTGTTATAGCCTGCTATA